TTTTTCAGGTCCAAGCTTTCAGAAGCTTGCAGTTTTACATATGCTATTATGGGTGGGGAGATTTCAAGAGGAGATCGAACAAATGCCTCGATAGCAACGTATACCAAGTTCTATACATTGTCGTTGCTATCATCCCTTTCTGGTCCCGTTTTCTTCAGGTAACAACTAAACATGAATTTTGTTACAGTTTTTCCCTTATTTTCTTCTCCATTTTAGGCTATGTTTGGTAAACCTAACTGATAAGCTAGCTAGCATATAGCTTTTTTCGTGTTTATAGCTGATATCTCATGACTGAAAAATTAGCTTATATGATCATAAAAGTGTTTGATAAAATTAGCCGATAAACTAGCTGAAATAAAAATTTCAATTGGCTTAATTTTGTAAAGCTACCAAACCAAATACAGGAAGCTTATAAGCTAGTGAAATAAGCTATAAACTACCTTATATGTTTACCAAACACAACCTTAAAAGGCTATAAAACACAATCTTAACTTTTGAAATTTAAAATTTTTTTTTTTTAGTGCCTTCGGCGTTTGTTTGAGGAAAAAGACTCGATGCAAGGGCTTAACTCGCTCAAGTACTTATCGACTATAGTTGCGCTCGTCATGCGGACATTGTACGATCTCAAGAGAGGATCGTTTTGGCGAGTAATGGCTGCTTCCATGTCGGGAGTCACGACTGTTTTTAACACGTATTGGGACATTGTAATCGATTGGGGCTTTCTGAAGAGGAAATCGAAAAACCCATGGCTGCGGGATAAGTTGTTGTTGTCAAACAAAGCTGTGTATTTTGTGGCTATAGTGAGTTTGTACTGTTTGCTTGATTGTTTAAACAGGGTATTTGCATTTTTTTTTTTTAATTTATATTTTTTTCATAGTTTTTCACAAAATGTATTTGCAGGTAGTGAATATTCTGCTGAGGCTTGTTTGGATGCAGCTGGTTCTTGATTTCCATGAAGCTCCATTTTTGCATAGGAAGGCCATGGTGGCTATTGTTGCCAGCTTGGAGATTATCCGACGTGGCATCTGGAATTTCTTCAGGTTTAAAATTTTTACCTCTCTCTCTCTCTCTCTCTCTCTCTTCTTTTT